GTTATGTTAAACTTATATTAAAGTTTTTCTTCATTACCCATTCAAACCGTCTCCAGCCATTATTAGTCTCAAAGTGGGTTCCTCGTCACCGAATTCATATACAGTGTATTTATGGGTTTAACAGCATTGAACTCCCTCCCTCAAGAAACATTTGTTCTAATAAATATGAGTACAAAAAAATTCAAGTAGATAACAGCTCAAGAATTGTATAGCATGAATACATTGAATATATCTTTCATAATTACACAATAGTATTGGAAAGGAATGACAAATGAAAATTCGTTCTCTATCTCACTATTTGTGTATATAATACACGTGATGTGTTATTATGTACACTCACTTACACCTGAATGACCTCGTTAAAAAATCCATATTTGTTCTTGCGGTGTAGTCTGATCTGTTACAGTTAATATGTCGCTTTTAATGTTTCATTACCCCTATACACAGTTTAGAAGAAAGAACATCCGACACTTATTGCTTTAGTAACTTAATTAATATTATATTAATGAGACTAATAAACATGGCTGCAACATTAAAGATTTCCGAATGTAAAACAGCATTGAACGAAGGGGTGACCTTAAGCCTAAATACAAATTGCTTCAACTATTTTGGTAAGTCTACAGAATTATAATAACAAATCTGTGTAATAAATGTCACAATATTTAAAACTTACGATAAACAATAAGTCGTGCTGTTAAACATGAAGATAAAGTATTTTAATTCCAGAAGAACAAAACCCATACTGTTAGACACAATAGGATATAGTGTAACAACTAACTAATATTGAGATCTATTGATAAAAGTATATCAAACGTATTATTCACATACTAGTTAACTTTGTTGAGATGTTCAGTAAATTACCCTGAGGGTTACTAGGGTAACTATCCGAAAATATAGAAATTCGGTCCAAAACATAATTGTACAAAAGCCAATATTCTTTAAATAAATATAGGATTATTTACACTAATTTCAAATTTACTTTCCAAACAAAACAAAACCCAATAATGAACAAAACAGATTTTTTTTTCTTACTGAAGGTCACTTTCGTGGCAAGTTAACCTTTATACATTCTACACAACATTTGATTATGCTGCCGCCTTTGAAGACAATGAAATGTTATTATCAACTGTTCGGTCTGGAGAATTCCTCGCGTTACCACCTTCCACTAAGCTACTAGTCTCGCTACCTTCAAAGTCATTCTTATCTCCTGATGTTGAACTTTGACCAGGAGAAGAATCGGACAAATCTTCTGGAAATTTCTTTTCGGTGTTTGTTGTAGTCACATCGTGATTCTTTTGCATGTGGCTCTGAAAGTTTCTTAAGTGTTTGAAAACATCTCCACATACACGACATACGTGATCATAATGTTTATGGTGAACACCCACAAGGTGGCGCTTCAGCTGCTTGAGCGAACTAAAGGTTTCACTACAAAATTCACAAGGGTAGGTGGTGGAAGTGATGTGGATGCACATGTGCTCCTTCATGTGACATTTGCGAGAGAACGTTTTTCCACAGTGGGGACACATGAAAGGTTTGAGACCAGCGTGGGACTTTAAATGTGCCTTTCGATTTTCCTTTAGAGCAAAACGTTTTTTACAGAGAGGACATTCATAAGGTTTCCCCCCGCTGTGTGAGCGCATGTGAATATTCAGATTTCGAGTGGGAGCAAACCTTTGAGTGTGGATCTTTATGTGACCCTGGAGGTTGCTTAGACATGGAAAGACTTTTCCACACTCTGTGCAAGGAAAGGATTTATTACCATCTTGAAGCTCTGTGTCACCATGGTATCGAAAATAGTGCTGCTGTGCTTCATCAGAATTTCGAAAGACTTCCGGGCACAATGGACATTGTAATGTGTCACTCTTTTGTTCGTGGATCTTGCTATGGTGATTAAGACTAACCGTGTTGTTAAATACTTTTTTATGCTCTGGACAGTTGGCCTGCTCTTCACTAGCATTGCTTTCCTTGTGTACATGGGAATGGTTTTCTAATTCAGCGCGAAAGAAAAATCTCTGGTGACAATTAGCACAGTCGTACGGTCGAGAACTTAGTCCATGTTGTAACATGTGTTGCTGTATTAAGTGCGGGGAAGTAAACACTGCACTACACATGTAACATGTATAAAAGCTACAGCCTTCAAATGTGTGCGTAATCAAGTGACATTGGAGTTTAGCTGGAGACTCGAACACTGTTTGACACAACTTACACTCATGTTTGGTCCCTTCTTGAGCCATGTGCGAGGTAACGTGAGCCTGGATTTCTGCCTCACTTTTGAAAGACATTTGACATTTAATGCACTGGTATGTCTTCTTATGAGTTAGCCTGTGCTTTTCTAATGCAGCAAAGGCTTCAAACTTCACATGACAATCTGGGCAACGTAGATCCTCACTCTTCGTATAAAAACAGTCTTTACACATGTAGGTGTGACCGTTGTCTTGTTTCCCGGTTATAATGAGGTTATCCATTTCATACCGCTTCGCGCAGACGCAGCAGTGGTAAAAACGGTCACAGTTTTTCAGGTGAAACTTGGCGTGTACTTGAATTTCCATGTCTGACATTAGAGTCTGTTGACAGATAACACAATGAACAGGGAGACCATTGGTTACGTGCTGCTGGACGTGGCAGTAAAATTCATTTTCATTCTGTACAGATTTCTTGCAAGTCACACACGTGCTTGCGGTCAGAACCTTACAATGGTTCAGCTTGTGTTCAGCAAGTGTTGCTGCAGTGGGACAAACTTCATCACAGATGTTACATTTATGTTTGGAAGGGCTGATTGTATGCGCCTTCATGTGATTTTCTAAATCTGAACGAGATTTACAAGATTCGTTGCAATAGGCACAAAATAAACTTAAAGTTGCTTGCCCTGGTTTTTGAGAACCGGATATTCGAATGTTGTGAACTTGTCGACGATGTGAGTTTAAGTGACTTTCCGAAGAAAAACAACTGTCACATATTTCGCACCTTAAGTCTTTCCTACACTCTAAAGAGGGCGCCATCGTCTTATCTTTAAGGTCTGGTGGCTTAAGGCTAAGATTTTGAACGTCACTGGTAGGGATGGAACGATGGTCACTGTGACAAGCCTGAATATGCTTATCCAGTAAAAATTCAACATGAAAGGCCTCTTCACAAAATGTACAGATAAACTGCTTTATGTGAGTGTTTAGATGATATTGGCGCTGGAATTCTGTGGGGAAACATTGGTCACAGAGTAAGCAGCGAAAAGGATGTGTCTTGAACATATGCATAACTTTCACGTGTAACTGGAACTCAACTTCAGTGCGAAAAATCACTTTACAAGGTATACACTCGAACAGGCGGTATTCGTTACTGTGCTTTACGGCAAAGTGAGTTTGGATACTTCCCTTAGAATTAAACATTTCCTTACAAAGGGAACACTTGTAGAGAAGATGAGAGTGAATATCTATTAAGTGTTTCTGTAGTTCGTCTGGTTTGGAGAAAAGTTTATAACAACATTGGCAGCTGTACTCGGTGGTGGTTGATAAGAAATGGGACATCACGTGTGCATCAAGTTGGTCTTCAGTGGCAAACTCGTCCTCACACTCCCTACAGGTATATTTTGGAATCACCTCTTCTAAGTGCATTTTTAGATGAGTCCGAAAGGATTCGAAATCCGGGAATCCGGCACTGCATTGACTACACAGCAAAGGGCCGCTGTGTAAGAACTGTTGAATGGTCCCGTTCACTGGAGGTTCTTTAGACGTATGTAATTTTAAATTTATGGATGAGTTATCACTGGTTTCCGTAGCAATGCCTGGAGAAGAATCTGAAGAGCTACCTTTCGATCTAGCTGGACTTTGTTGGCTCTTTGGACTTCTGTTTCTTCCCTCGTGGATGGATTTCAAGTGTTCTGAAAGAGAGTTGATATTTAGGAATGTCACATTACAATGTGAACAGTAAAGATTTTCTTCCACGTTATCAAGCAGATCTGTTAGATTGTGAGCAGAAAGTGTGTGCTTTTGTAGACTTTGGACACTATCAAACCTCGTGTTACAGTACTCGCAGGTGAAACTGCCGTTGTTGTTACGAATCTCACGTTGCTGCAAAGACAATGCTAAAGATGAAAAGTTAAAAAATGATGGGTAATTCAGCAGAATTTGCCCCACATCTTTACCTGTTGTTGATAGATGCTCTGTTTGCACATGTAACTGTACAACGTCTAGTGACGAGAAACCGTTTCTTGTGCAGAAGCCACGTGGAAAATTGTTATACTCTCTTTTAACTTCAACACTACTGCTTATACTCTCCATCTCAACATCGTCAGGAATCTGGAAAAATATGATATTGAAAATTCAAAATTTTTTAACAAGCTTTAAAAATACATCTTAAGGGTGAATAATGTTTAAATTGCATATTTGTAAATATTAGAAGATGACCATAAAAATGTAGGTACTTTAAACATTAACATTTTAATAGCTTCTATAAGTCCATAAGAGAGGCATAACGGAAACAGTTTTTTAAGAACAAATTTTCAAATAATCTTAAAAACTTTTATACGTGAATTAATTGTTTGTTTGTTTTTTATACAATTTACTAGCAAAAGTTATTTAGCTGTTTTTAATATGAACGTCACCTTATGTGGCACAATGAGCTGAATTACAACCGCTGACCAGAGAATGGACAACCATTCGGCAGCACCTACCACCTATAAAGCAACTCTTAATCGAATAGTAGATTGAGTGTCACAATTATAACAAGCAACTCTACAGCTGAATTTGTGTAGATTATTCGGAGGGAAGGTTGCAAGTCGAGCCATTGGGCCTTTTCAACCATGCGCTGACTTGGTAACCAAAATTCACTCAAACACACGTTCTGGGATACATGTTATTATTTTCAAACCATAACAATGTATATTTCTAACATCCGTTAAGACTTCACAGTTTGTTAGATGGTCATCTGTTTATGCAGGTTCCTAACTTCTGTTAAGATTCCAGTTTATAAGATTCGTATCTATTTATATAGGTTTCCAATACTATTTTCACAGTAGGTTTAAGAACATTAATGGACTACAACTGCCTGTTGAATGAAAAGGACGCGACGTTTCGACTTCTATTCTGGGCCCTTTCAAAATTACTGCCGCTACTCTGCCTAAAATTCCAATGAAATACCACCCGTTTTCACAGCTTGTTAAGATAATTGTCTGTTATGAAAGCCTTTAAGCTCCTTCAAGTTTAATGTCTCTGTTTTATTACTGTCATGAGTTTTTGTAGCACCCTTAGAATCAGTTTTATATGCTAATAATAAAAATCAAAACTATTTAGAAACAATTACAAGATCTAGAACATAAATTCTTTAAAACCAAGCATCGGATCTAACGAATATCATTATGCTCTGTGTAATAGTATTCTACTTTTAAAAAACAGCCCAAATGTGATCTCAAAAACAGCCTAAATGCGATATCAAAACTACAGTGCTTACCTTTCCATGATGCACCAAGTCTTGTACAGAAGGGTAAATATCTTGGTAAGACAGGTGCTTTCCTTGAGACTTGGAGGGGTGGTTTTGTTGAACGTGCAGTAAGAGAGCCTCTGGACTAAGACAGGGTTCGTGACAAAAGGTGCACCGGCTTGTCTTGTCACTCGGTGATGGGGTTTCTCCACAATGTGCCCCTACATGAGCCTGATAGTAGAGTAAACAGTTCACTTGCGTTATTGGTATAATCAAAAACATTCCTAAGAGCCATTGCAAATTCCTTTGTTTTGTGTCTTAAGTTAGCTCAAAGAATATAAAAGATTCTATTGAGACTCAATAAATTCATTGTGTTGATTTTTGTCAATAAAGTCAGAAAAAAAAAACGACTTTTAGTTTCCAGTTGATTAAAAAAACTTTTTTTATTCCAACCAACGTTTCGCCGTTGTGGATCCGTAAGGGCTAGTAGTAAAAATACTTTATTGTCAAAATGTTTAAAACCCTCCAGTACGCACTGCAGTTGCTGAAAAACAACAAATTATTATTTTTAATACTAAAAGTAGTTTAATGGTCACGTTCATTAGTTTGTTTTGAATTTCGCTCAAAACTACACGAGGACTATCTGCGCTAGCCAACCCTAATTTATCAGTGAAGGCAGCTAGTCATCATCACCCACCGCCAACTCTTGGGCTACTCTTTTACCAACGAATAGTGGGATTGACCGTC